GATGATCCCTTCAGGACCAGTGGTGTGAGTGGCGATGCTGAGAGCATAGAGGGAGGGTAGGATGGAAAGGGGGAACCAATTATAAGGATCTACATGTGACCTCCTCCATGAGGGATGGAAAACAGAAAAGTGGGGAGACATTGGACAGGGCAAGATATGACAAAATAATAATTTATAAATTATCAAGGGCTCATGAGGGAGGGGGGAACAGAGAGGGAGGGGGGGAAATTAGGAGTTTATTTCGGGGACTTAAGTAGAGAGCACATGTTTTGAGAACGATGAGGGCAATTAATGTACAAATGTGCTTTAGACAATTGATGTATATATGGATTGTGATAAGAGGTGTATGAGTTCCTAATAAAATGATTAAAAAAAAGAAATTCAGAAGGAAAATGGGGGGAAAAAAGAATTACATGATATATACATCATTTGCCAATAAAATGGTTTGGAAAAAAAGAATTACAGTATTAATTCCAGCCTCGATCATAAAGATCAACCTGGAACCCCCTCCCAGGGGAACAAATAATGGAAAAATAGGTGAGGTGCGACAGAGGACGATGTAAGATATGGAAATAATAATTTATAAGGGCTTGTGAGGGAAGGCAGGTTGGGGAGGGAGGGAGAAGAAATGGAGAGCTGAGATCAGGGGCTCAAATGGGAAGAGAATGCTCTGAAAATGATGGTGGCAGCATATGTGCAAATGTACTTGACACACTGGATGAATGTATGGATTGTGATAAGAGATGTAAGAGCCCTCAAGAAAAAATATTTTTTTAAATTTCCAGCCTTGAGCTATAATACTGGAGGATTTCTTGCATGAAATATTGAATAATACAAGAACCATCAAAAGAAGATGAAAGAAATCAAAAGAGTCACTTTACCGAAAGAATGAGTCAATGTTCAAATATTTCAAGAGGTATCAGATGAAGAATCAATGAAATTGATGGAAGACATTCAAGTTGCATTAAATGCATTGAAAGAAGGCCAATGGAAATGTTTCAACAAATGATACGCCATCAGTGGTTCCCATTTTTCAATGCCATGGCGTTTCGAAGAAAGATAATGTGACCAAAGAAAGGTGATCCAACAGAATGTGGAAACTATTAAACAGTAGAATTAATATTAAATACAAGTAAAATCTATCCAAGATAATTAAAATTTATCTTTGCATAATTTTCATTGTAGTAGTATATTGATGAGGAATTGCCAGATATTCAATCCAGATTCAAAAGAGAATATGGAAGGTAATATATCATTGTTGACGTCTGATGGATCTTGACTGAAAGCCGAAAAATATTAGAAGAATGTTTATCTGTGTTTGACTCACTATTCAAAGGCATTTGACTAAGTGAATCATAGTAAGCAATGAATAAACTCGTGAAGAAAGGGCACTCCCGAATATTTCATTGTACTCTTAAGGAAAATGTGCATCAAAAGAGACAGTGCTTGTAACAAAACAAGTGAGGAAAGATGTGTTCCAGAGTTGTGGGGTTTTGTTATTGTTGTTGTTGTTGTTTACCATATTTACTTCAGTTGTGTACTAAGCACATAATAAAGGAGCTGGAATATATAAAGAAGGATGTGGTATCAGGTTTAGAGGATAACTCAATAATGTGCAATACGGAGATAACACAATCTTGTTTATTAAAAAAGAATGTCTTGATGCACTTACTGAAGATGCATCTCAACCCAAAAAAAACAAATATCCTAAAATTGGACCAATACGTAACATCATGATAAATGGGAAAAAGATTGAATTTGTCCAAGATTTCACTTTATTTGGGTACACAATATCTACGGAAGCAGAAGTTAGAAATCAAACAATATATCTGCTGCAAAATATCTCTTTGAAGTGTTAATGAGCAGAGTGAGAGCTGTGGTGCACCTGCCCCACGTCAGGTTATTTTCTTTTTTTGATCATTTTATTGGGGACTCTTACAGCTCTTAACACAATCCATACCTCCATCCACTGTGTCAAGCACTTTTGTACATATGTTGCCCTCGTTTTCAAAGCATTTTCTTTTTATTTGAGCCCTTGGTATCAGCTCCTCATTTCCCCTTCTTCCACCACCCTCTCTCCCTCATGAACCCTTGATAAATTATAAATTATAATTATTTTCATAGCTTACTTCATCCACTGTCTCCCTTCAACCACGTGTCTGTTGTTCAACCCCGTGTGGGGAAGTGGGGAGGTTTTTATATGTAGTTCACTGTGTTCGGTTCCCCCTCTCTCCCTGCACCTTCCCCTTCCCCTCCTGGTACCACTACTCTCATTATTGGTCCTGAGGGGTTTATCTGTCCTGGATTCCCTGTGTTGTGAGTTCTTATCTGTACCAGTGTACATCCTCTGGTCTAGCCAGATTTGTATGGTAAAATTGGGGTCATGATAGTGGGGGTTGGGGGGCAAGCATTAAAGAACTAGAGGAAAGTTGTATCTTTCATCGGTGCTATACTGCACCCTGACTGGTTCGCCAAGCCTGGGTATTTTCAATAGCCTCCTAAACATGCAGAAACTGGACAATGAATATAGAAGACTAAAGAAGAAGTTATGCGTTATGTTGATGGATAATATTAAATATATCAGGGACTTCCCTACGAAAGAACCATTCTCTGGAGAAGGATCTCATGCTTGGCCGAGTGTCAGTGAGAAGGAAAGCCATTCAAGGAGACAGATTGACACAGTAACTACAACCATGTGCTCAAACATAGAAACGACTGTGAGGATAACAGGAAGAGGCAGTGCTTGGTTCTGTTGTACACAGGATGCATGTGAGCCACAACAAACTCACTGGCACCTAACAAAAACAACAACACATATATTCTCACATGGGAGCACATGTATATTTCTTTATCTTTACTTTCTATAGTTATGCATTTACATACATAAAATTTCACCAACATATTATCATATTAACATATGTATATTGAGTTTCTGCATATACATATATATTGAATTTCTACATGTTCTACACATTTCTACACATTAATAAATAATTTTCAAAAAGCTATAAAAATTTAAGTACATATACATGGTACTTTAAACTAAACACCAAGGGAAACCATGAGAAAAATATAAAAAACAACAAAATCATTCTAAACTATAACTATGTTATTAATTATCTACTTAATTTGGGGTAAGAAATGCCTTCAGTCTATGGCCATAACTCCCTGATCTCAGAAATCAAGCATGGTCGGACCTGGTTAATACTCAGATGGGAGAAATGCCTTTCAAACTATAAAAGTATTAAGAAATCTTTAGGAGACAGTGAATTTCTCTGCACTAAATTTCACATTTTCATACATCAAAATTGTGGCAAGTACAGTCTCAAAACAAATTTCAACTTGGAGGTGAATATTTGCAAATGATAAGGCACTCTTAATATAATTAAAAAACTTATTAATCATTAAGAAATACATTAGCATCACAATAGAAATATAAACAAATATTTTAAAGAGGATGTAGAGAAAAATCAGCAATGGCCCGTAAGAATTTTCTTTTCTTTTTTTTTTTTTAATATTTAGTGAATTTACTGCAATGAAAGACACTTAAATGATACAGAACTGAAAATATTAGAAATCCATGTACAATAAAAAGTGAACATAAATTAGCTAACTCCAACATTTCCAGTTAAGCATTCATACAATACATATTCATTTTTTGTTTTTAGTATAGGTATAACGCATACATACATGCCACGATGATTCTGACAAAAAGAAAATCAGAGATACTAAAAATATTCTCAAGTTTTAAAACTGATGTGAAGTAGGTTTCCACAACATTCTACATGAATGTAAACCTGTGATATAATTCCATGATTTTAACACGTCAGAAGCATGGTTGGTTTTCTTTTTTAAAAAACAGATCTTGGTATTTTTTACACATTGGCTTCTTAATAATTAAGGCATTTTGCATACACAGTAGTATCTCAGTGTGAACAAAAACAATTTAATATTGATTATTTGCTATGATGTTTTAAACTTTCAGTCTTTTCAACATAAGAAAATAGCTGCACACATTTAAGTGTATTCTTATAAAACACAATCTTAAGAAAATTCATGATGATTGGTCTTTGTGGTTCCTAGTATTAAGTCCTTTGTTACTTTTCCACATAGTATAAGTTATATTATGCAATATGCAGGAGTGCATTGAGATCCAGTAGTTCTTAAACATATAAATTCCAAACGCAGCAATGGCCAACAATCTTCATAGTGCACTTTCACCTCATTGAAGTTGAAGCTGCTCCTTTGGGATATTTTCCCACTTCAATGTGAAGTAGATTGTTAGGATTTCATTAGTGGTTTCATTGTGTGATTTTTAAAAGAAAAAATGTTTTTATTTCTTCCATAGTTCAAAGTTTTCAGAAGAGACATTTTTTTTCTGGAAATCATATAGTCCTGGGATGTTCTGAACAACCACATATTCTTTAGTAGAGGAAACTTCTCAATGCAATTGTAATAAATAAGCATCTACATCCTTAGCTGTATTACCGGTATATCCTGGAACCAAAGTCAGATGGTTTTCCTGTTCCCATAACCCACTTAACTGTTGTTTTAAAATCTGAATATTTCCATCATTTTTAATTTCTGTTTTTGATGATCATTCTGACCACCATCTTTTTATAACTGCTTGAAGCCAGTTTAAACCAACTATTACATACTCTTCAAATTTGCTCTTAAGTAGTGACTTTACTAGAGGTAACAAGTCTACACAGCAGCCAAGTGAGATGTATTGTTTTTCTTCCTGCAAACTATTGGTGAGTACAGGAAGGCAGTCCACCACAACCCCAAGATCTTCTATCCTCACCAAATAGGCTACAAGTTCACTTATACTTCTCTTTCTCCAGAAGGTTAAAGCTACATTCAACCTCAAGTTTCTGCTGAACAAAACTTGCGCCATTGTTTCATGGTCCTGAGAAACCTCAGAAAAAAAGCCACTATATTTTGATGATGGGCCTTCTGTCTGTGAAGCCCCAGAATCACTGGAGTTAATCAAATATGTTCGACTATCATGGCGTAATTTGTCAGGTAGGTGGCCTGCACAAGCCAGTTCATTTTCTTTATTTGCCATGACACAGCCCCCACTTCTAGGGGCCTGCTTCTTTCTGTAACAAGGACTGGGGAGAGGACGATGAACTTTCTTTCTGAAATAGATCGCCTTATGTAGTTTATCTGGGCTCTTCACAGCTAGTCCAACTGTTCTATTTATGTAAGCAGCCAACTGTTTTGGAGATTTCTTAACCTCCTTCATGTTCTTATAAGTGAAATTAGAGTTCCTTTTTCTGGGAAGATCAATGGAATGATCCTCAGTATTATTACAAAAGTTCCGTTTTTTAACATTGTGGGTTTTAGATGCCATAATCTCTTAAATACCGGCGCCTCATGATACCGCGGCGCTTCGGGCCAGCCCTACGGCTCCAGAAACCGCTCGCATCCGCCCAGACTGGAGTCCCTGGGCTCCCGGGCTCCCGGCCCAGCCCCACTCACAGCCATTCAAACACGGCTGTGCGTGCGGCCCAGTAAGAATTTTCTAAGAAAAGAATTACTCTAAAAGAATGTTACTAAAATGATAGTGATATAATCGTGCATGCCTGTCAAATAATTAAGGATTTCTATAAAGATAATATCTCATTGTTTACCAGTACAAAAATATAGATGCTCTACTGTGCATACTGTATGTAGAAGTACACAATTTGACAAACATGGAGAATATTTTATCAAAATGATAAAATTTTTCTTTAAAATTTAAATCCTAATTCTTCCAGAGAAAAATGCACTACTCAATAAATATTTATTGTGTGAGTTTTGTATATCAATCACTGCAAGCCATTAACCATGCATTGTAAAATGGACTTAGTTTTTTTTATCTAATTCACTTTAGTATATAGGGAAGAAAACAGTTAATAATCAAATCATTACATATGAACAAAATATTCTTAATCATGATGTGTGCTGATTTCTGTAAATATCCTGTATACAATGCAATGAGGGTGTATAAGAAGGAATCTGAATTCTAGACAACCAAGAGATGTTTCCCTTAGAAAGTGATAAAGGGCCCAAAACTAAAAGAAAAATTAAGAATTCACTAAGAGAAAGAGGTGACTGCGAGGAAGTGGAGACAATCATATCAAAGATTCAGTGGTGAGAGATCAAGAGATAAAAGAGAGGGTTACCCCCACCCCCGAGTAGAATTTATTTCACAGGACAGCATTGAAGCTGCAGCTCAGGGAGAGGGACATGTCTGAATCAGAGCACACAGGAGCAAATGAAGGGGGAGGAAGAGAGAGTGGAGCATATCCTGGCCCACCAATCCTTGAGGACTATATTCCTGCTCAGAACAGCCAATACACAGAGAGGACCATATGGCCGGTCCCACTATAAGACACGACATCCCTCACTGACTCATAGCCCTACTGGAGACACAGTGTGGGAATTGCACCCAATCTGATCCCACCACATCGAGGCAATACACTAAGGGTGTGCAACAGAACAGCAAAGGGAACAGAGCAATGAAGTCCCCAGGGAATACCAAAAATAGACATTGGGGTCAGGGCTTAGCACCCCACCAAACTCGACCAGAAAACACTCCTAAAGGCCAACAAACAGTCCTTGAACTAACTACAAGCTTTTCTCTGTTGTTGTTGTTTGTCATTGGCTTTTTGTTGTGGATGATGATGTTTTGTTTTCTTTTGTTGCTTTATTTGCTCTGTCTTGTTTTTGTGCATGTTATTATCTCCGCAGGTCTGTCTAAATTAGATAGGCTGGATGAACAAGCTAGAGGAGAAAACAATGGGACCGATGGTTCTAGGAGGACAGGGGAGAGATGGAGGTGGGGGGAAAGGAAGTGGTGTTAACAAACCCAGGGACAAGGGAACAACAAGTGATCCAAATCAGTGGTGAGGAAGGTGTAGGAGGCCTGGTAGGGCGTGATCGAGGTTAATGCACCCGGGAGGAATTAATGAAACCCAAATGAAGGCTGAGCTTGAT